TTTTGAACGATAATATTTTACGAAAAAAAAAAACCCCAAAAAACTGCAATACAATCTACTGGTCTCTTTACAAAGAACCTTGCATTTTTATTGGATCAAATTTAAATGAATAAAAGTAAATAAAAATAGTACGACTTTATTCAATTGCAGCTAAAAACAATGGAAGTTGAAGCAAAGATGAATTCTGAATTATCTTATCAATTAAAGGTTTTTAATGCTGAATTAAAAAATTAACACGAACTCATTGCATTTTGTTTAGGAATTTACGGAAATTGATAAATTTGATTTTAAATCGAGTTGAAATTAATTCCGAGTTGAAATTAGTTCCTAGTTGAAATTAATTCCGAGGTGAAATTAGTACCGCGTTGAAATTAGTTCCTAGTTGAAATTAATTCCGAGGTGAAATTAGTTCCGAGTTGAAATTAGCTCCGAGATGAAATTAGTTCCGAGATGAAATTAGTTCCGTGTTGAAATTAGTTCCGAGTTGAAATTAGTTCCGAGGCGAAATTAGTTCCGATTTGAAAGTAGTTCCGAGGCGAAGTTAATTCCTAGTTGAAATTAGTTCCGAGTTGAAATAAGTTCAGAGTTAAAATTAGTTCTGTCTTTCCCTCGAAGCCTTGTTCTTCCTGGCTTTATTCTGAGGTCAGTAAGAAATCGGTGAGAGAGGTGAGTTTTCTAGGATTGCCCTTCGCATTGGTACGGGACACTTTATCTTTTGTTTTTCTTCATAAAAGTATCTAGTTTCGGAAACGAAGTTAGCAGATTGACCAGTTCTTAAGAATGCCAGGAGTATGGCTAATGAAGTGTCAAGTAGATGATAAATAAATGAATAATTTACCTGACACATGTTAGAGGGCAGAGTCTCGTCTCCGTTGGGCTCGGGTACCCAAATTTAAAACTCGGCCTTGTGCCACATCTTGCTGCGTGGGTAAATAATTACTTCTCAGGAGGTTTCAGAAATATTTTCATTTTGTTTTTTAAACTTTTACTTACGGCTACAAATAGAATGCATTATTAATTATATGAATAAGCTAAAAAGATTAGCAAGATTAACGTCTTCATCTCATGTAGGATAATAATACAAGAAGAAATAAATGAGAATGTGTCTTTTATTTTAGCAAAAACCCAGACTGAGTCGAAAGAAATTCAGAACGAGGCAAAAGACGTATCACGTATCACATTTCTAATAGATTCTGAAGGCCGGTAGAAACGCGGCCCATCAAATCAATAATGCATGCAGTGAACAATTTGAAGAATGCCTTACGATTTTCACAGAGGCCAGGGTAAGAACTTTGGCCTTTCTGAAGCTCCTGACATATTCAAGGACGCCATTAAGATTGAGAGATGATACCTTCTATCGCTTCCAAACAATTCTCTCAACGACCGGAACAGATTCCGGATCAATGAATGGATATTAATGTCCAGTAAGCTGAAAAAAAGAATTTGCATGATTAATACATGAATAGAATAGAATAGAATGTTTTGATAGATATATATATATATATATATATATATATATATATATATATATATATATATATATATATATATATATTGAGAGAAAAGAAAGAAAGAAAGAAAGAAAGAAAAAAGTGAGGAATTGCGAAGGACTGAGAAGGGTGGTAGAAAGAGAGAGATGAACAGACTGAGATAGATATATATGAATAGACTGATATATATATATATATATATATATGTGTGTGTGTGTGTGTGTGTGTGTGTGTGTGTATCTCATTAAAGAGAACATACAAGATACTGCGATTAAGCTTTTTATTTAATTTTTCCTGTGCTCGAACAATACTTTTCTTTTCTGTACACAAAGTGTATAAAGACTGTCCAAATGTTCTGTAATCCCGAGCGCTTTCGGCTATACTTATTACATTATCAAGGATGATTTTATTTGGACTTTTTAACTGGATGCATGGGTTGTGTGTATGCCTCTAGAATTATAGTGATATTTTATTTTCCGAACACAGTCAGCACATTGTGGCCGTATTCATAGTTAATATTATTGATTTTGCTTTTTTCTCTTTTATTATTAAGGCATCCATTTTTTTAAATAATTTTTTACATGTGGATGAGGTTATTATGCTTGTATTTTCTTCTAGTATGTTTCGGATGGAGTCTCTGTGTGTAAATGGGTTCTAATGGAGCTGTGGTCTGATAGGTTTAGCATAAGTTTTCTGGATAGGCATATAATAGTGTGACCAAAGTAATTATTCAGGAGTGCAGTTTCATCAGGAACACGGTTCTTTTAGGGGCGTTTGAACTCGAAAATAATTTAGTCTGGATTTTGCAGGTGTTTTATTATGTTTGAAGATAAGGTTAGCTGTTTTAATTTTTTTGTAGTAGATAATTAAACTATTTTTTTTTCTTCGGGTCAACTGGAGTAGTGTAAATATATCAGGTCATCCCATAAGTTCTGTCCGAATTTTGAATAAAGAAAACAAGTGACCAAATGTTACATTTAATTACAGATTCAATTAACAATGTATTTTCTCTGATTATCTATGACTTCCTTCCATCTTACAGCTTACTGTAAAATTCTTTTGGCTTTGATCTGAAGAACTCAAAAATGTCAGTTTTAACCTCTTCCTGTGTTACAAAAGCTGTTTCTTCCAAATAATTCTGTAAGCTACGAAACAAATGGTAGTCTGAAGAAGCAAGATCGGGAGAATAAGGTGGATGAAGAATTTTCTCCCAACCAAGTTCTTCGATCTTTTGTCACGTGATTCTTGTTGTGTGGGGTCGCGCATTGTCCTGATGAAGCATCACCCCTTTTCGATTCACTAGAGCAGGTTTTTTTTTCCCTCAAAGCTTGGTTCAAATGCTCTAATTGCTGGCAGTATATTTGAGCATTAATTGTTGCATTAGGTGGTAAGAATTCAAACTGGATTATTCCTTGGCGATCCCACCAGATTGAAAGAAGAAACTTTTGCCCATAAAGTTCCCTTCTCGGCTGTGGTTGGGGTCCTTCCCCTTTACCAAGTTGTTGAAGATGACGATGAACAGTTGTATGGTTTGAACTGAGAACCACTGCCAATTCCTCAACTAATAAAGCAGGATTTTCTTCAAACTCAACTGGACGTCCGGTTCAATCTTCATCTTCAAGGGTGAAATCTCCTCCTCTGAATTTTGTAAACCATCTTCTGCAAGTTCTTTCATTCACACATTCCTCTCCATAAACTGAGTGAATGTTTCTAGCCGCTTCGGCTGTTGTTTCCTTTCTTGAACACATAAAGCATTATGTGCCTCAAATGATTCTTGGGTACTTCCATGTTAGCAGGGTTTTTAATCAAACAAAATTTAATTTTATTGTTCTCTGAAATAAAATCAGATCAGTTTAAATGCATCTAAACATAAAAATAATGTTCAGCTCCATTAGACATTATAAAATACGCTTTAAATTTCGTTCATTTTAACAAAAAGTTAAAATTCGGACAGAACTTATGGGATGACCTGATATATATACTACAGTTTAAAACAAAAATGCTGACGCAGAATGAACGACGCTCTGAAAATCTCTGGAAAAATGATGAATTGGGTGAGTCCTTTTGTAACTATGGGAGCCTAACATGTATTCTTCTGCCTGTCATTGGTGGGTTTTTATATCTGTCGTGATTTATGATAGTTTGCTCCAAATTCGACTTGATGGGAAGTTCTTCTGCTTGAAATCTATTCCCCAAATTCCGTCACATTTCGATCATAAGCTGCTTACCGGTATGGTGACCTTGTTTTGGTCACAAACATTTCAAAATACTGAAGAAGAAACGAAATTGTAAATGTCATTTGCTTTTTTACTAAATTTTCACCTAATAAAAAGCCCAAGGGCCACTCAAGATAGTGTTACTTAGTGAAGTTTTTGTACCGATGAAAGAGGAGGATGTAAGTTAACAGATTATGAAGACATGTAAGATAGATAACGGTTGACCCGAAACTTGATGAAAAGCATCCCCTTTTGAGTCTGTGACCACAAAATGCCGGCTCTCGTGAATAACCTGTCTTAGTTAAACTTCCTTCTTATTAACAGAATTCAGAGGGAAAGTTTTGCATAGCCCTTTGGTTGGCGTGGTCTTATCTCGTCTTCTCTTGGCTAGCTAATTGTTTTGGGTCAGCAATGAATAACATCAAACACGGACAACTTTGACTTCTCTTGTTTTATTATTCCATATCTAGGACCTCTTTTTGGTGGACCTGGGAACACTAGCAAGGTTCCACGCTCCTCAACAACACCCCCCCTTTCAGAGGGCTTGCTGTCTAATGTAGTTTATCGTCATACGCAGACCGATATTATAATGAGCGGACAGCCACGACGACATGTGGACCCGAGTCTCATGACCGGAACGCTGAGGTTTTAACGACTAATCCATGATTCCATCTCCTTTGCTATATCAAATCGTGAGTGAGGGTCATACGAACAGATGGTGTCAGAGAAACAAATAGATTATATATATATATACATACAAATAGACAGAAGAAGGGATCCTGCCTGATAAAGAAGCCTTTTTAAGTCAGTTTTAATATCTCGTGAACCGGTGAAAAGGTCTTGATGTAACTCAGAAGGGACCATTATGAAAAGTTGATGTGCCGCCGGGATGAATGCGTGTGGTCCCAAGAGAAGTACTTTGGAGAGCAGTGAGGCGCCATTGCCCTAGGCAGTCACTTTTTTATGTCAATAGTAGAGAGCTGTATGCCTTTCGACCAAGCGACGAATAGGTAAAACACACACACACACACACACACACACATATATATATATATATATATATATATATATATATAGGAGTTTCTATCAAACTAGTGCGTACTCTTTGTTTATACTGGTCCCATCAGAAGCAGATGTTGGTTGCATAACAGAGAATTGATGAAAGAAAGAAGAGAAAGAAAAAAATATTTAAAGAGAGGGAGAGAGAGAGAGAGACAGAGACAGAGAGAGAGAGAGAGAAGTTGACAAGAGGTTGAAAAACACCAAAGAAACAAAAAATATTCAACGAAAGAAATTAAGCAAAATTACAAAAAGAAATTGAAGGGGGAGAAGAAGTGTCTTGATTAAAGAAAGAAAGAAAGAAAGAAAGAAAGAAAGAAAGAAAAGAAAGAAAGAAAGAAAGAAAGAAAGAAAGAAATGAAAAAGAAAAAAAAGAAGGAAACAAAATAAATGTAAATAAAACAGAAAAACAAAGGAAGGAAAGAAATATAAAAAAGAAAAGAAAACAAATGAAGACGAAAGCAAAGAAAAAAAGAAAGAAAAGAAATGTAAAAAGAAAGAAATTTAAAAAAGAAAAGAAAGAAAGAAGAAAATAAAAGTAATGAAAAAGAAAATAACAAAAAAGATAACGATGAAATGAAAAGAAAGAAATAATGAAAGAATTAAAGAAGAACACCACGAATAAACAGGAAAAAATAAAATGTAAAAGATTGGTAAGAAACAATGAAGTTAGGTAGGTAGATAAGAAAGAAAGAAAGAAAGAAAGAAAGCGTAGATGAAAAGCAAGAAAAAGCGAACGAACAAACGAAAGAAAGAAAGGAAAAAAGAAAAAAAACGAAAGTAAAAGATAGAAAGAAATAAGAAGGAAAAATGGGATAAAGGAAGAGAGAATGGTAAGCAAGGACGAATAATCGTTTGAAAATATAATATCAGTGGAGACTAGAAAATAAGAAATGAGGAAGAAAGTTGATAAAGAAGAACAAAGAATAGACTCAAGAAAGATAGGAAGAAAAGAAGAAACAATAAAAAAAAACCTGAAAGAAAATGAAAGAAAAAGAAAAAAGAAAGAAAAGTCGCTTGTGAACGAAAACTTAAGAAGGATGATCGACTTCAACATAGAGATAACGAAAGAGAAATCGTGATTCGAGTAAAGAAAGAAAAAAGAAATAAAAAAGAAAGAAAGAAAAAAGTAAAGAAATGTTGGAAATGGTGACTCGTAATATAAAAAAAAATGCGATTGAAAAGAAGATAAATAGCAAGAAGCGGGCAATAAGCACGAAGGGAAAACTCATTTTAAGAATTTGTTTTGGGAAAGAATTTCACCTATTTTTGTCTCTCGGTCCAATTAGAACCATATGCCAAATTCTTGACTAACGTGACTCTGTGGTACATAGGTTTTGGGAGGAAGCGACCAAAATATGAATGGGCTGGCATTAACAGAGAAAGATAAATAAATATATATATATAGAGAGAGAGAGAGAGAAAGAGAGAGAAAGAGAAAGAGATATGGATGGTGGGGAGTATTAATACATGCACAAGTCAATGAGGGTGTGAGTGGGCCTGTGCGTTAAGCGAGAAAGAAACTTAATAAAAAGCAAATATAAAAGAGTTTGAAAACAAATGAAGAAACTCTGTTATTATCCATAAAGAGCGGATGAGAAGTACAAAGCGTTAAACTGTCAACTGTTTCAAGACCACTTAATATAACTCTTTAATTTCGGAGGCTTAAATACCAACAAATGGAGTAGATGCCTAAATAGCTTCGAGGGTGTCTAAAGAAAAAAAATGGTCGCTACAATTGCAGCCACCGTTCGTACCTGGAAGTAAAACTTTCATAATGAAATAAAAATACGTTTATAAGAAATGATTATGCGTAATCTCTATCAAGGCGGTAATTGGATTCACCGTGCCGAGTTCAAATTCCCACCAAGACTATTTACGTCCACTTCGCTCTGACTAACAAGGTAATCCATCGGGACGTCCCTATCTATCATCATAGGGATTTCAGTTTCCACAGATATTAAAGACACAAGCGTTTCTACAATTTTCTATCTCGGAATAATTCAGTCTCATTCATTGTTTAGTATGTAGGATCTTTTTTTTTTTTTTTTTTGCATGACGACATTGCATTTTCAATGCCGAAAATCTGGTCTGTTAGATTCCACCATTAGCCAAACTCAACATCCGTGACCCTAGCAGGGGTGGTTACCGGATACTTTACCTTGACCATTTTGAATTAAGAGTTGTTCTTTTCCTAGACTAGCCCCCGTCCCAAAGGCTAAAGAGCCCAGTCTTCACTACTATTTCACCCATAGCTGGAGAGTAGAGATGGATTCATACCTTTCATAAGGGGATTCACGTGTTTGTGAATATAATCAAGTCGGCTGTAATTCAAACTCTCTTATCGTTCTGAGCTGTTATCTTTTAAAATAGGATTCCATGTTTATCCGTCCTGGGTATGACGATAAACTACATCCGCATCCTGGCTAAGACGATAAACTACGTCCAACAACAAGGCCTCTGATAACGAGGTTTTCAGGAGCGTGGAACCAGTTCTTAATTGCTGGTGTTCCGAGGTCCACTGTGACCCGGGGTTGTAGCACCTGTTAGGGTTTTCATCTATGGGCAAATAGTTGACCACGAAACTGAGGTAAAAAGCATTATGAAAGAGTAAAAATAGGTTTTAATACCAGAAATACTTTGTAGAAATATTATTACCAGCAATAAATATTTGAAGGAAAAAAAAATTGTTGCCAGCAATACGTTTTTGAAAAAAATATTCCCAGCAATACATTTTTAAAAATAATATTACCAGCTATACATTTTTGAGGAAAAAATATCACCAGAAATAGATTTTTGATAAAACAAAAATAATATCTGGAAAAAAAAAATTTCGGCATTAAATAACCCATTGACGTTGATATCCCGTAAAATAAAACAAACCAAACCAAATCCATGTTTATCTAGCTGAAAGGTTAAATGGCTGGGAAAACTCGAATCTTTTCTTTTCTTTGGAAGTGAGCCTAAAAAATAACCTTGATTTCGAAATCAGGAGGTTTTGCGGAGCGTGGAACCACCTCTTAATTGCTGGTGTTCCCAGGTCCGGCGTAGTAGCATCTGTTAGTGTCACAGCTACGGTAAATAGGTAACCTCCAAACTGGAATAAAAACGTGTAAAAATAGGTTTTAATACTAGCAAAACATGTTTGTAAAAAATTATCACCAGCCATAATTTTTTTAAGAAAAAATTATTACCAGCAATACATTATTACCAGCAACACATTTTTGGAAAAAAAATTTACGAAAAATATTTTTTGAAAAAAAATATTACCAGCATTGTCGGCATTAAATAACCCATTGAGGTTGATATACCGTAAAACAAACCAAACCAAGAATAGACTTCATCAGACTAAATTGCTCTAGATAGACCACTGTTGTTATAGTTGCAATTCATCTGGTGCCCTACGACTCTACGTTGCATCACGAGTGTAGTAAGCAAACTTTATCGTGGATGGAGCAATGGAACGATGCTAGTTTGTTGGTGTTTTTTTAGGCATGATGTTAATTGTTATTACGATTCTGTGTTCATAGTTTATTCGGGTCATTGACGAAGCCATGTATTGCAAGAATACATTGCAAAAGAAATTCTTTTCTTTTCAGCATTATTTTTCGAATCCCGAATATTATTTTACCAAAAAGAATCTTGTACTGAACCACATGTTTATGTGCAGCCATTGACATACACGCTCCTTCTACAGCTACAATACATGGATTCGTCTACGACTAATTGTAATAATAATAATAAGCATAATATAAAAGAAGAAATTACTATCGTCTAATCATCAATGTGGAAATCCTCAGTTTTTTCCATTCAAGATGAAAATTTAAACTATCAACACAGCTCTATAATTTGAACATCAATTTGGTCTCAAGTTTACAGAAGGCGTCAAGTTGAATTCATAGAGACAATCCGTTGCTAAATGTATTGGAAAAATGTATTGGAAAAATGTATTGGAAAAATGTATGACTTATTCTATCATTCCAGGAAGCCCATTGCGTCTTAATGGCATTATCGCCTTTGTTGGTGTGAACTGAATCAAATCAAAAACTAGTTCAAAAAACTTGGAAAAACATATATACATACAAGGAAGGTATATTTTCTTTAATAAGTTTTCTTGATAATGCAGGCCGGCAAACGAAATGTATGGGGATAATGCCACTAAGACGCAGGGGGTAATTGGGAGCGAAAGAGAATGGTGACACTTTAGAAGAACCCAGAAACCCACTTCTAAACAGGAAACAAGGGATAAACCTCTACTCCTGTTCAAAAGTTCAGTTTACACTCCTCCCCATTTTTTAAACGGAAGTAGAAGTTTATCCTATTTACCTTTTTAGGATTGGGTTTCTGAATTCTTATAAAATATTCCTATTCTCTATCGCTCCCATTAATCCTCTTGCGTCTTAGTAGCATTATCTCCTTTCTTGGAGTGAATTGATGAAAACAAAGACATGTATGTATGTGTGTGTCTGTGTCTAGTGAAAACATGTAAAAATTCAGTTTATCCGTTTTAAATGACGTCACATTTAAGTGCCTTGAAATTGGTCCCAGCAAACGGGGTCACACCGGAATTATTCAAAAAGAGTTTCATAAAAAAAAAAAACCCTCAGTTCTTGATAACGACTGTAGTAATAATCGAAAGTACACTGCCTGTCTATATTTCTGAGATGAGGTATTATGTACACTATTTACATTACTCGGACTAAAGTTCTCATCTTTGTCGCCATATTTATTACAACGTTTCGGCTTTTCAGTATCTGTCTAAATTTCTGAGATGAGGTATTATGTACACTATTTACATTATTCAGACTATTGTCCTCACCTTTGTCGCCATATTTATCACAACGTTTCGGCCTTTCAGTATCTGTCTAAATTTCTGAGATGAGGTATTATGTACACTATTTACATTGTCCCCATCCTTGTTACCATATTTATTACAACGTTTCGGCCGTTGTACGCTCCGGCCTTCTTCAGATGCTTGCAATGTTGAACTGCACCCTTTATTTCGCTCACTGGGGTAGACTGTTCTAGTACCACGTACCGTGTTTAATGGATGTCAGTTATCAGTTATCTCCTGTTCATTTCCCCCTGAAATTTCTCCGCTGCCATAACCAGGTATTGAACTCACACTCTTTGGGTCCTGCCACTGGATCTAACTAACGCCTTCATCCACTGTGCCATGTGTCCTTGAGGGAGCATGGTGTTAGAGAGAGTGAAATTGAAAGCGAATGAGAAACAGTTTTACTAATAATCATGGGGTTACAGATAGTGAAAGTGAAAGTGAAGACTGGGAATAAAGAGGATTGGGGTCAGTACAAAAGATGAAGCGGATTCAAGAAGACAGAGGATGTCGATTGACGTTGCCAATCTAGTAGCGAGCTTAAATTAATATTACTCTAATAGTTTTTTAATTATACTGCAATTTAAAAAATATATATATTCACTAATTTATCTTTTGACTTTCTTAAAATAGTCATTCAGGACACAAACAGTGAGAGCAGGTAGCATTATGATTTTCGGCGAATTAAGTGGAATCTGCATGACGAGTTCTCATTTTGGTTAAGATTGCTTCCTTCGTACGTTTCCCATTCATGGAAATTCATGAATCCGTTTTCCCCTAGATATGGGTTAAATAGCAGAGTACACTAGGGTTCTCTTTCCTTGGATTGTAGTCAGTTTAGGAGAAGGAAAACACTGAATTTGAAACCAGCCTGAAAGTCAATACAGATCCTCATGTTATATTGCCTTAGACAAACCCACTGCTGCTATGGATGCATTACAAGTGGTTTCTCAACTGCTCTAAGATTTAGCGAAGGGAGATCGTTTTTAGTCATTGATAGAGTAAAATTGAATTGTTTTACAACTATCGATATTGTAGGAAAATGTAAATTGCTCGCAGTAGGATAACGCATTATTTGTAGGGGTGACACTGAGATAAACGTTTTTCTACGTTAGCTACTGTTTATGCCTATTGGGAATCAGCTCAGAATTTTATTCCGTTTAGATTATTGCGATAAACCAATTTTACATCTCCAGCATGTCGCGAATTTACGTTTTCGG